GCAGCAGGGACAAAGCGCGAAAGGCTCCCCTGTTGTTGCAATCAGTAGCACTCTTGAGAGGCGATCGCCGAAAGGCTCTCCTATGGCACTGTAGCCACAGCAGGAGCAGGCGCCAAAGTCAGTCCTGCTGTCACATCTAGTCACTGTAGCAATATGGTAGCCTGACATGTCTGTGTACTAGGATTAGATGGGTAGAGTTGTATATATACCTTCCCACTGCAACTCAGTAAATAGAGCGAGTTCAGTTTTTGCCATCTCCTCTCTGAGCTCCGGCCATTCTTTGGTGCTTTGTGTGTTGTGTGTGCTCTGTTCTCCTCCCTTCTTCTACCTCTAGCCATAGTGTGTGGTCGGCAACACTTTGGTGAGTGGTCGACTCACCTGTTCAAGATCCAGGGGCCAATATCCTCATTGTCTCCCGTCACTAGCTACTTGACAAGTGAGTGACAACCTAAGTCATAGTCATCGCAATCACATAGGATCGGCTTCTACTTAGAGGTCCCTTTGAATGGCGCTTAAAAGATTCTTGTTTCCTATGGTTTTTTTTCCGAAAATAAACCGATTCATGTATAGTTCTTATAGAATTCCTATGTTCCAAAGGAGTCCTAAATGGCTTTGTGGTAGGTACTCATGTATGTACCATGTGTCATCTTTTTCTAAAAAATATAAAATTCTAGATTTAGATTAAGTTCGACTAAATCTATAGATATATTATTAACATTTGACTCATTGATGGCCTAAGACATGATAGATATTCTCCACCCTTAACACATTGACTACCTCATTAATTATCCTCAACATTATGGCCTAAGTAAAATAGAATGTGTACAAGACAATAACACTCACCTAAAGTTGTAAGGAAGAGTATCGTTGTCTGTTATGTTGTTTGTCCAAGAACCGGATATGTTATTCTCTATTTCTTGTTTAAAGTGACGTGTTCTTTCTTCATGTACAATATATGGGTCAATGAAACCAACATCAAAGATCATGTTTCTTTTGTGGTTGAAAATCTCCATTTTGCATATAGTACAAAAGAATGTAGTGAGTATAATTATAGACAATGAACAAGAAACATTAATTATAAAAATAAATCACTTATGCATAAGGGAGGTGATGAGAGAGATTTGTCAAGGTCTTTTAGGTGGTATAATTGGTATATTTCCTCAAACTCAATCTTTATCTCGTCCTCACCACGGAAGTATAATTCTGGTGCCTAATTTTTCAATGAGCACACTCCCACCTTGTTTCGTTGCTTCCATGTACCATTTGTGTAATTGGAACATTTGTGTTGGTAGGTCCTTGACCAAGTCAGGTCTAACAAGAGGCTTGTCGAGCTTATATTTCTATACTTCAACTCCCAGGTGAGTAGAGTAGGAGTGAGACCGGTGTGCATCATCATCTCCACAAGACCCTGGACCTCTTCAGAAAGCTCAATGAGCGGGTCGATTGATTTTTTTTCTTGTTGTCCGAGCTGTGGGATATATAGCTTTTTCTTTCTTCCTCATATGAAATGACTTCTTGATAGAGCGTTCATAGTTTGTTGGCCTCTTAGCTTTATGTACTGTTTCTCGCCTAGCCTGGATGACAAAGTGCTAAGCAACCTTCAGGTCTACCGTTTCCATTACCAGGGGCTTTGTCAGTGCTAATTGCCTCTTCACATCGGCTTGCACCCATGGTCGGTTTTCCTCGTAAGGCAACTTTTGGGGAGGGGGTTTGGTGGTTTCCTTCTTCAACGTTGTAGCCTTCTTCCGGGCGGGGACTTCCGCTTTTGCTTCTAGGGCATAGGAGGCGGAGAGACCACCGCGGTGACGGAGAAGGAGATGGAGATGCAATCCTTGAATGATCTGGACATAGACCTGGACTCGAGCTTGGGGCCCTCAAGGGTAGCGAAGATGGTGGGGGTCGCTTAGGGAACTGTGAGTACAAAAAAAATGATTGAAAATGGTTGTGAAATCAATTGAAAATGATCGAAAAACTTGTCTAGTTCACTTTCATCCCTACCTCTAAGGTTGATGAGGAGACGACGGTGGCCTAGGCATCCCAGGAATCACGATGTAGCGCTTGCAGCATAGAATGTATCCATGAATGGCCTCTCCAAGTTTCTTCTCCCCATCACCTCTAAGAATGTCAAGGCCAAGTGCCATATATTCTTTCTCAACTTGCTCCACCCCGGCTTTAGCATAGCCTGCTAGAATTTGCTTCCCATGGATGACTTCTCCAGCTACCACAGGTGAAACAATAGCGTACGCCACCTGGATTGATATGTTAATCGCGAGAATGTGTAGCTCACAATTTGTATGCATTGAGTGATATCATCCACGTGGTAGCATTGCATTGCTTCATCATCATCAGGGAGCCCCGTGGAAGTGCAGCTGCTTCTTAGCGGAGGGGGGCAAATGTTGACTGTCGGATCTGATGTAGTCTGCCTATCGCTACTAAGTGCTATTTCCACTTACTATTTAATTTCCTTCTGCATTCTCGCTTCTCGCTCGGCTTCTCACTCCTGCGCTATAGATTGTTGGGATAGCACCAATCCTCTAACTTGCGGAACCTCTCTGCCTCCTCATCCTTTCTTCTTAGATGACTTATGTAGGAATCATCCATTCAGCAAAGCCAACCCTCCATGGATCTCTACTAGGTGCTAGCTTGTTTCACCGCTGGCTCTAACGGTGGTGCGTACTTCCATCTTGAAACCGACAGCGAAACTATGTATCTCCGCCGGTTTCTTTGTGCATCGTGCATTGCATGATTAGCCAGCGGTGCTAAAGGTTGGCACCACCGGTTCGGTGCACAATGCGGCAGCGAAGACTGGCACTTTTTTCACTGCCAGATCATACGTTGGACCGGCGGTGAAAACGTTTATCATCGCCGTTAGGTCACCCAGAAGGGACCCCTCAGGCTATGAACCGGTGGTGATACACCGTCGGTTGTCTCATAACCTGTGGTGAAAATCTCGGCAGTGATTAATTTTCTGTTGTAGTGGAAACTCATAACGGTTTCAATGTTTGTGCCACGTGTTGCCGTGGTACAAGCAAATGCAGTGGCATTGATGATTTCTCCCAAATCATATACTCTTATAAAGCAAAACCCCACAAGCTATTTATCTCAACATGCAAGCTGTCCAACTAGGCAATGTATCATCACATACTATTAAAATTCATTAAGCAAAACCTCACTAGCTATTTATCTCAACATGCAAGCTATCCAACTAGACAATACACTATAACATACAATTAAAATTCACTAGCACATGCAACTGTAATGTCCACGTTAGCAAGACACGTAAACATTTTGTTAAACATATCATCATACCATGCAATCCCTAATCCGCAATTCCTGTAGCAACGTGCGGGGTATGCTTCTAGTATCATTAAAAGGGGAATTTCAGTAATACGTGCAAGCATTAATGAGATACATGTTTCTTTGGTGGAACAAGGCCATGTCATGTTTCCTTTTCTCATGTTGATGTCGGAGAAGTTCTTCGATTGCTATGTAAAGACAGGAAACATCTACTGCCATCAGCAACATGCTTAGTATTATTGAGTTTTCAAACCAAAATGTCACTCGGCTACCCATGCAAGCTCCTATACAACAAGCTTTGTTTAAGTGGCAGTTTGGCCAGTTGGCTGCTTGGGAATAATAGTAATATTTCCTAGGAATGGACTGTTATCAAGATGGTGTGTCCATTAACCATGGTGTTTGCCCTATACATCAAATTGAGGTGTTTTGCTGGAAAGATGCAACTTGAACTACAACACAAAATAGTTCCTTTCGAAGGGAGGGAGATCCAGGCATCATGCTACTTCTTATCATCCAATGGATTGGGGTACGTGAATACAATTGCTGCAATAGGAATTTTTCATAGACTGGAAGCTATGATGTTGTGTGCAAGCAATTCCTGAACTGAGCCTGGTAGCAGTTGCTGAAATTTTTTAATTTTACAGAACTTTGAAAAATATTACTGCCCCGTTTCAAATTGTAAATCGTTTTGGCTTTCTAAATATACAGTGTTTGCTATGTACACAGATATATACGTAACAAAAATTATGTATAAAGACTTGAACAACTTACAATTTATTAGAACATATAGAATACTATTAGCCCCTCCTAACAAAGGAAAAATTGAGCATCTGGCTCACTGCACAGACACAGGTTCTTGGTCTCACGAGATGTGGCAGGCAGGCATTAATAATTAGTTTCTTTAGATCCAACCAGGACCTAGGTGTATATCAGCTCTTTGTTCTTTGTTTCCGTTAAGATACTTTTGTTTGCAGCTTAGCTTAGGGCAACCGCAACGGTGCCAGACTGCGCCATAAAGCGCGTTTTACCAGGCCAAAAGAATGCTACAGGCACCAGGGCATGAAACTAACGCAGGGTGGCGCAACAGGAAATGTGCCACGTCGTGAAACTGGCTTGGCAATGTTGCCTTGTCACGTCACCTTTATGGAAGTCCCAAAATGGATAAATCTTAAACAGGAACTTACATGAACTGAAGACCATGAGAGATGAGACCATGCTACAGTACTACCAAAATGCGCGGAAAATATAAGCAGCTCGGTACATCATTTTGGCAACAACCCCATCGATATGAAACATGTACTTTTCGAGCAGATGATAGAACTGAAATGTTGTATCATACAGGCGACCATGCATTCCACGAATTTTATTTTAAAAACTTAATAATAATCTACTGCAACAAAGTCTAAATGTCCCATACCGTTTAGGAGAAACTCCCTGTAATTATACTATGCAAAGTTGCGAGCATCGCTTCAACAAACTGCACATAATATTTCAGAGAAATTCCTGCTGTAGATCCCCGGCAATCCCACGAAGGCACATGCAATTGCTACTTCGCTAGGCTCCCTATCATTCACTTGTGCAGGTTTTGCAACTGCATGATTGTAACAGTCAAACTCCTGATGCTCAAGGGTTTTCACAACATCTCAATCTCAGCGAGGCCAATGTCTGTATAAGCATGACCGGACAAATGAAACAACAAAACCCTAGAGTCGTGATTTGACACCATCAACCTTGGCAGCCTGCAGTAGTTTAAGTAATGCAAATTTAGATTATTCAATCAATAAGAAAAATAGTATGAGAGAAGGTTCATTTGATAAGGAAACATAGATGTATCAACGAAATCAAGGACATGATGCTCTAGGTCTTTACCAGGGATGCACCCTGACGAGCTCTCACAGCCAAATATTCACAGGGTCTAAAGAACTCCCCATAATCCTTCGACCATGCATCCAGTCTGTCGTACACATATTTCGCACCAAGCGAGTTGGCCCAAAACATTACTCCACCCCTGATGTGAAATAGCAGTTCCAAGGAAGATTTAGGATTATATCAGTAAGGATGGACATGGAAAGGAGAGATAGTGAAAGTGACACAGAACAGAAGCTATTGGACCTGTAAGAAGGGAAACCCATCCCCATAATGGAAGCTACATCGAGGTCAGATGCTTTGAGAGCAATTCCCTCATCAAGCACTCGGCAGGCTTCATTCACCACAGGAAAGAAGATCATCTCCACGATGTCATTATCTGTTAGTTTCATCAGCTGAGGGAAAGGAAATCAACTGTCAGATCTGACGTATATATCTTATAACTTGAAACAAAATAACAATAAAGCCACTATTGTGTAGAATGTAAAGAGATTAGCATTTAGAGTGTAATGGTTGATACCAGACATGCAAACCCCAAAATCCAAAGCTTGAAATCTTCTTGAATGCTATTTTTACTCAGTTTTTATAACAACTAGTAGCCACATAGTTCCCTGTAAACCTATTTTTTGTTACTTGTAATGGAAAAGTTATATTTTTGTTCTTAAATTGCCTTACCAAAGCACCTAATTTCCTACAATTCTCAGCAACTTCATGCAGCCCATTATGCATTTGTTTTAGATCATCTAGAAGTGTGTGCGAGAAAAATGATAGAACAATGCGGATCCTCCTTGGAAAAAGAGCAAAAAACTAAAGGAGATATAGGATCATGACCTTAGGATCTTGCATAACACCTGCCATGTTCCTTGATTTTTCAATGTACTTTCCCAAATCAGGATCTCGAGAGGCTTTGCGCTTATCATCATATACATAGAAGCCCTTACGAGAAGATTCACCTGAACATTCCACAGATAAAAATATAGGAAAGCTGCAGCTGTTAGAAGAACAAACTCAATTGGACTCATAGTTTGAAGCAAATTATGTGTCAACGTATTTGCAGCCTGAAAGCACCTGTCCTATTATCCTCAACAAGAATCTGAAGCAGCATTGATTGGTAGCATCGTTCAGGATAACTTTGGTAATATTGCTTTCTTGTGGCAATGGCAACACCAAAACCAACAAGATCAGCTAATCTGTATGACAAATTATCAAAAACAAAACCCAATGTCAATCAAACAGTTATCTGTTGAGACAAAACAAGGTGCCACGATGAATCTGAATCGGATAACTAGGGTACTGTTGATACCACCCTACTTAATGCACAAAATGGAAAGAAGAAACAAAGAAAGAGCAATACAAGTGTACAACCAGTAACAAAAGCAAGCGGTACATCTGCTTCAAAGAAAAGGAAAGAGATACGTAAATGAATTCTACAAAGTAACCATATTAGGAAGAAAACATGCCATAAATGCATTCTGTTCAGCCCACAAGTTTACTTAACCAAAGTTAAGTAATATGGGTATTATCAGGTTGATGATGGATAACTCAACAGCAAGACATGGAAGAAAACAAGGACTGCATGTGACAGATGACTGATACAAACAGTAGTAGTGCAAGGACTCACCCCTTAGTCAAAAGTTTCAGAATCTACTTGGTTCCTATTGCACCAAAAAACAAGGTCATAATCTTGATTCTTCTAATGCAGGAAGCTGCTTCAACCGATTTAATTATAATGGAAAGATCGCATAGTTTCAGACAAACTACAGCAGACAAGAAAAAGCATGGCTATGTTCAAACTCAATTCCTGAAGACAATAGCAAAAGGCCATGTGTAGCTGCTTACCGGAAGGGCCCCATTGGCATTCCAAATTGTGTGATCACACGATCTGTGTGATACACATCCAGACCATGATCAACAAGAAAACAAGCTGCCTGAGCATAAGGAAAGAACATCCGATTGACAGCGAAACCTGTGCAGTTGCCAACAACTATTGGTGTTTTCTGTATCTTCTTTGCCAAATCAAGCAGGTCCACAATAACTTGAGAAGAAGTATGATGAGTACAAACTATTTCCAACAGTGGCATGACATGAGCTGGACTGAAAATTAATGCATAAATTAGATACATGGATTGAGAAAAGGGAAACAGAATGTAGGTGCAAAACACGCTACCTAAAGAAGTGTGCGCCGACAATGCGGTCCTGAGAAGCTGTCTTCTGACCAATTATGTTCAGGTCTATTGTTGAAGTGTTTGTGGCAAATATGCAATTATGATGGCAATACTTCTCAAGATCAGAAAATATTTGCTGCTTCAGAAACATATCCTCAATAACTGCCTGTCCAAGTAGCCATCAAGATCATTGTCTTTTCAACTTTAGCTAAGTAAAACACTTCAGGTTAAGTAGACTAAGGATGCAGTGAATTTACAAGCTATTGTACAAAGTAAGCAACAACGATAATATGTATTTTTGTTGCAAGAACATAGTAATTATTAAGTAGTATACTGTCAGGACTCTTCTAGGTTTCATCTAAACTTAGTTGGTTATGTCACGGCCCTGCGCAGGGGGCCGGCGGTGGCCAGCTGGGCGGGTGTGGTGGCTAGCCGGGGCCGGCTGTGGCGGGTGCAGGGGTTGGGCAGCGGCAGTGAGAGAGAGAGAGAGGGGGGGGGGCGCTTGGGGTTTAAAGAGCAAAGCTCTATTCTTGCTTAAGATTGAAAGGTTACATCACACCTCTATTTATAGGCCTGGGAGATTTGACCCCTGAGCAATCTAGACTTGACCTCCAAGTAACCCCTATTTAGAGTCCTTATAGATTTGGACTTCTACATTCCAAGCAAACCTATTTCCTAAACAAACTCGATCCTTATTTCCTAAACAATTCTCTAATTATTTTCCTTTTCCTATTTATTTCCTAAACTTCCTTTTATTCCGAATCCTCCCAGATATCGGGGGGATTGAGTGGCGGCGGTGGCCCACCCCCCTGGCCGCACACCTCCCTTGCCACGCGCAGGGTGGCCCTCCGTCTTGGGCCTCTCCTGGCCCATTTGGCCAGACGAGGGGGGGTCTGGATCAGACGTGTAACAGGTAACTTCCAATAACATAAATCAATAGTTCAAACCACACTCAAAGGTAGGAGTTTTGTGGTTTTTGCCAAGTAGCCATTACAATATTTTCATCCTTAACCCTCCCGTAAGAATTTTTTTTTTCTTTGTTTCTTAGATATTTTCCTCACCCAAATTATAAGACGCGTCTTATAATTTGGAACGGAGGGAGCACTTGATTGGTTCTGATGTTATAAGAAACACATAACGTTATACCTAAGCATATGGTATAACTTTGTTAAAACTACCTCTCTATATAGGTGACAAAGCTGAATAAGCAGCGCTATCTCATATTAATCAGAGAGTGGTGAAGATATATATTGGGTCTACCTCAATGACTACATCTGTATCTCTGAACTGTTCATAGTCAAGAACACCACATAGTAGAGAAAGTTTCTTTTTATAATCTTCTACAGTAAGTTGACCCTTTTTGACGAAACTCTGCAAATTGGCTGAACAAGAGAACAAACTTCTGAGGAACTTTGAAGGCAATCCCAATAAAATTAAGAGAAGTGAATAAAATATACCTTTAATTCTGTTAATGCCAGCAGATAAGAACTGTTCATTTACTTCTTTCAGGACAACATTGAAGTTGTTCAATATCAATATTGTTGCAATGCCTGATCCCATTAGACCACCCCCAATGATAGCTGCCTTTTTAATTTTCCGTGCTGTCAAACCCATGTTGGTAATATTTGGAATCTGGTGGTGGTAGGTTAATATCATCAGATAAATGAAAGGTAGTAACATGGATTTGTAATGCATCTCTCTAACAAAAGAACTGGGCTAGCATGTGTAATTTGAGATACAATTATATTTATATTTATGTTATAAAGGCACTTGAAAAGAAGTTTACTAGAGTAACAAAAATCCTGCAACTACATCACAAATATCCAGAAATGAACTTCAATTTCATACCATAACTTGATTTATCTATAAATTACAATAAATAAATTTATTGTGACCATCAACATATTTGGTTAAAAAGCATGAAAGATGACAACCATTCTTAAAAGGATTTGCAACAAATAAATCAAAGTTCTGAATATGGCTGATTATATGAATGAAAATGGATATGTTGAAGATGCTTTGACCTCATATTTCTACCAACCTTTGAAGTAGCACGCTGAGCGAAAAAAAAGTGTCTTAAGCTTTTGCTTGTTTCAGACTGCTCAAGCATTTTCCCAGAGAGGGCTTCCTGTTAGAAAATGAAAATATACTAAGAAGCACTGGGGCAATACTAACATAAAATAGCACCAATTGGTGATTTACCTTCATGAGACCTGCACGCGGGCCAGAGACTATTCCTTCTTCAATAACATCAATGCAAACTATGGGATGCTGAACATTAGCAGCCTTCATTTTAGCTTGAACTCTTGCAAATTTCAGAACATCCTTCACTTCCGCAAGATCTGGAAGTTTATCAGTCCTGTGGAGACTTCTGAACCATGGTTTCTTCTTTTCAACAATTTCTAGAGCCCAGGAACAGGCAGCGTTGACCAATTCATTAGCTGAAGTAACAGCATCAACTAAGCCGCTTTCTTGTGCCCCCGTGCCTTTTATAGTCTTTGACATCTATTAGGAGAATACACCAGTACTGAGTCAACAACAGTCTATGTAGGTTTGTGTCATGACCATCACTGCAACTTATACTAATACAATTCAAGCTTACCAACATCATCTCAAGGGCTTTTGGCAGGCCAACAAGACGGGGAAGACGTTGTGTCCCTGTAAAAAGTTAAGAACTTCAACACAGAAAATGGAAAAAAAAATCAAGGAAGACACCTCTTGGCATTATCTTATCTTATTACAGAAGTTGACAAAATGTAATTATTTAGAACTTTGAATCCTAACTATGTTACAGTTTGTGGGTAAATATTTTGCTATCTTGAATGGTTAATATGTTCAGCACACGGTTAGCAGTATGATTAGCAGTAATATGTCCAGAACATGACCTTTTAAATAATTATTATAGTTAGAGTAGGAGTACTTCAGCCGAACTTTTGCTAGCAAACTATTTTTCTTTGTACTTCCCAATTCCCGCTGTATGGAAACTGCATTTAGTGTTCATCCACTAGAACACATCAGGCCTGTTTGGAGGAGCTAACTCCAACATGTTATGGTTCTAGTATGTACAGAAAATATGTCAATGTATCTTTGAGAATTACAGAAGATTTAATTCTACTTTTGTGGCAGGAATGCTTTCATATACCATTCATCGTGGAAATCTGAACATGGATGCAAGAGCCCTTTTGCCAAAAGGAGATAGGTGCAGGGTCAAACATAATAACGTTTAGGCCTAAGGCTAAAACACCACAAACAGTGGTGTTTGAGAAAATATTGGGGCATTTGTGAGAGTATATGTAGTATATGTTGGGGGTTGAGAATACCTCCCATTCCAGGAATGATTCCAAGCTGAAGTTCAGGTAGTCCTAATTGAGCTGACGGTGTTGAAATGCGAGCATGGCAAACCTGGACAGAAAGAGTTTTCGATGTATAACAAATAGCCAAGTATTTGAATAAAAAATACAGCAATCTGAAGCATGATACGATGAAAAACAACTTAGACATACCATAGCAACCTCCAATCCACCTCCTAGAGCAATGCCATCTATAGCAGCCACTGACGGTTTGTGAGCATCTGGCAGCAACAAACAATCAATGACTCAATAATCGAAAAATACCTGCTTACCAATATGCGTGTTTAGAGCAAGAGCATGATAAATTACCTTCCACTACGTCAGTCAAGAAATCAATAGACATAGATCCAGGCTTCTCATTTTCTGATGACATGTAAAGTGTTTAGTTATTCAGGAGCGAAAAGGGCCCGAACAAACTTGGTACAGAACTGTCATTCTTACTTGGCTTATTTCCAAACGCAGCTATATCGAACCCGCCGCAGAACCTTCCTTTGGCACCTGTGCAACAAGAAAAGCACTAGAAACACGGCACCAGCATAGGACACTTGACAAGAAACTTATTTTGGTGGCATACCAGTGAGGACGATTGCCTTGATATCATTCCTGCTTAGCGCCTCTGCATAGTTACTCTGCAAACTAGCTATGACTGCAAAAAGGAAACGAGAGGGCCAATCAGCCTGGTGCATTAACGGTCTGTGGTGTTGATTTAGGAGAAACATTGTGCAAAGTTGCATGAGTAAGAACAATGATTAGCAGGTTTTTTTTAGCAGATAACAATGATTAGCAGTTTCACATAGCAAGTGGAGCACCACTACTGCTAGATTGCTTTATGAGGCCAGACAAACAGCAATCCTAGAATGTACAGCATGTATGATTGACCCTCAGAGGACGAGGCAACAGCCACTCCGCTAGAGCTGACATAAGTTGACTTGTTGCGTAAACAAAGCATACTCCAAAAGACAGCTATAACGACGGGAACAAAGAACAAAGCGCTGGTTACGCACAAGGCAAAAGAGGCAGTGCTACTGTTCATCCACTAGCAGGCAAGGCGGTGAACAGTTCATTTCTCCCACAGCTACTGTTTCAGGCGAACTGGCGAAGCGAAGATCGATTGATCCAGGAGCATTCCCCACGCCAAGTCCCCAAACTAAGGAACCAACACGAGCGGAAAATCAGAGCGTCCGCGGGGAATGGGAACAGATTTTGGGGTAATACCGTCGAGGGAGAGGGCGTTGACGGGCGGGTTGGAGATGGTGATGACGGCGACGCCGTCTGCGCGCACCTCCATGGTGGTGGTGCCCCTCGCCATCTTCGGCGACGGCAACGACAATGCGGCGGGGCAAGAGTGGTGGGTTTCCGGCCTCCGGGTCACCGGTCCCCTGGGTCTTATGGGTGTATATGCCTGTGACAGCGAGGATTTGCAAATAGCACAGCGGACCTCACGAGGCCAGCATTCTGACTTATTTATTCAAAAATATCATAATAGTTTTCTCACAGATTATGGAGTATGATTTGCATATAGCTAAAAAAATAATGGCGTGTCACCTGGATTTGCCCTGTGCGACAGACTAACAGTGATGTAACCATGAGTTGGTGCTTCATCGCACCACGTGGTTCACGGGGTATATATATATCAAATTATCTCGCGTGAGTGCCGCGGCCGATCTTGGATTCTATGATTTTTAATAACAAATGAAAAAGAAAAGATATTCAGATAATTTTTTTATAGTCGATTTGCCACGGTTCCCGAGCCTTAGCGTGGGCCGTATTCATCGGGTCACCATACACGATTGCACGATTTAGGCCTACAACAGTAATCACCCACAGCGGTGGAACGAACCGAAGAACAATAGATAGAAGAAACGAAGGCCCCGTTCGCTTAACTTATCAGCCATACTCAGCGAAATAATAGTGTTTTCTCTCGTAACACATCAGCATCAACCATTTTCCCAGCCAGTCAAACAGGACCAAAAACACATAGAAACAAGATCACCAACCGAAAGAGCAAAATAAACTTTTATATTATATTATGCATGCTTAACAATGTCGTACGGCAGTGATGAACGATTTACTAGAGGGTCCTAGCCCCAGTAACTTCATGCTTAATGATGTCGTATGGCGGCGGTGAACGGTTCGACACCGGGTTTTGGCCGCTAGGGACTTCATGCTTGATGATGTCGTAAGGCGGCGGCGAACGGTTCGACGTCGGGTTCTGGATGCTGGAACTTCATGCTTGATGATGTCGTAGGGTGGCGGGGAACGGTTCGACACCGGGTTCTGGCCGCTAGGGACTTCGTGCTTGATGATGTCGTAAGGCGGCGGTGAGCGGTTCGACACCGGGTTCTGGCCGCTTGGAACTTCGTGCTTGATGATGTCGTAGGGCGGCGGCGAACGGTTCGATGCCGGGTTCTGGCCGCTAGAAACTTCATGCTTGACGATGATGTAGGGCGGTGGTGAATGGTCGTAAACCGGATCCTGGCCACCGGGAACACTATGCTTCAGCTCACCGTCGCTAATGCCATTGGGAGCCTCTCTCGCCGACGTCACCGCCGTGAAAAGCACTAGGCCGACGGCGGCAGCGAGGATTAAGGTTACAACGCAGCGGCGGCTGTGGACGCTGGCGCCCATGTCGGAAGTCATTGTGGCTCCCCTGCTTGCGAGTGGCTATTTGCGTTACGACGACAGTAGAGTCCCAGGGTTGGGTGTATATATAGGCGAGGTCGGGTATCAATAAGATGCATGCGTGTAGATCCATTTCCATATGTCAAAAACAGGACAATTCATCATCAGCGTGACGTTTATGTCAATCAATAAAAAAAACATACGAGCAATTTTTTGTTTCCACATGGCGTGCAATCACATCATGGTTGCCACGCAACGATTGAGGCAAGAATTGATCTATTCATGTCATTTCTTTCCTAAATTATGGTTCGCCAATGGGAAAGTTAATTAATCTATTCATAGCATTTCTTCCTAATTTGCATTGTGGCGTCTCACTTAAAAGGTAGCATGGAGAAGAATCCCAAAAACAATTGCTGAATAAAAAAATAGCCAAATTTGTTTGTTTTGTATATTTTTTCCTTACCATCTGTGACGTGTTTCCTTTTGAAGTGCACGCACAGGCAAAGAAGGATGGTGAAAGCAGGAGCGGCTGATAAGAAGTTTCAGCTGAATCCTTTTGATGCGGAGCTGCTTGCATGCTTGGCGGGAGTAAGAATGGCTGCGTTGGGCCTTGTTCATTTTCTTGGGAATGAAACTGCAGCAGGAATGGTACTAGGAGGGGATCAAGTGAGATCCAGGTGATTTGGTTCCGGATGTCAAAAGACAAGGAAGCAAACCTGGCCGTAGATTACATAGAATGTCCATGACTGGTCGGATTGTATTCCAGGCCAAGCTTAACCGAACGGCAATCTTTATTGGCCAGGTTTTTGTTCCAAATCGTTCTGAACCAGACGGATTGGGTCTCGTTCCAGGCCGTTCCGTGAGAAACGAACGAGGCCTTGATGGGATTGTCTCGAGTGGTCCTAGAGACTGATGCTTCTCTTGTCAAGACGGCGATAGAAGGATATGAATATCGGCTTTCAGCCTGTGGCGGAATCATCACGGAGATCCGGCTCTTGCTAATGTCGGAGTTTAGTTCCTTCAGTATTTGTGTGTGTCCTAGATTATGTAATAAGGTTGCTGACACTCTTGCAGCTTACGGGTGTCGTGTTCTCAATGACGATCGAGTCATTTGGGATGATGTACCTCTGTTCGTAGAGGGTCTGGTGGGCAGCGATCTCGCTGCAGCCAATGAGTAATAAGGTTTTGCTCTTAAAAAAATCGGTAGTCTGTATTTCGGCTGAAAATTAGCAGAGCAGGGTACATTCCTTTTCTTTTGTCTTCCAATCAATTAGGCCCAATTTACCCTTTTCTTTCCCCTTAATTATCTGTTTTAGACCAATGTTCTTTCTGGCTCACCGCCAGCAAGCCATGCACTTAGGGTCTGTTTGGATGAAGGGATAGAGTGGGATGGGGATAGGATGAGTCCACTTTTAATCTGTTTGGTTGGGAGTCGAGGGAGACTGGGGACATCCCACCTAGGAATACCTGGCATATTCGCTAGAATTGGGGGCGAGCTCGTCCCAGAAAAAAGCGCGGACGGGGGCGTCCCACAGAGACGCGTGCGACGATGTGAGCATCTTCTTCCTCCAGCGATTTCTCTCTCCTCCGATGCCATTCTTCGTCTCCGGCGCCGGTCAAGCAATCCGAGCAGCGAGATCTGACGCGGGCACCTCCGTTACTGAGATCCGGCGTGGGCGAGCTCCGGTCGAGCGACAGTAGATGGGGCGCGCGGCCTCCTCTTGCGCGGTCGGGCGCCCTTGGGGCCACCACCGGGCTCCGGCTACCGCCGCTAGCTCGGCCCCAGCACGGCGCGGCCCCAGCTCGTGGACCTTCTGCGCCATCCAGCCTTCGGCTCTGGCCTCCAGGCTCCCTCTCCCGCCTCCTTCTCTCCTCTGCTATGTGCGCGCAGCGCCGCAGCCGGTGGGCAGCGCCGAGCGAGTCGCTCGTTTGGTCAGCATCGTGAGCCGCGAGCTCGGCCACTCGAGTTCGAACCCGGTGCCTAGCGTATTTCCGCTCAAAAATGAGCAGGAATGGGGAAGCTCCCCGGTAAAAAAAAGGGCCAATGGTTGGCGCCCAGCAGCGGTCACCCAGGCAAAGCCGTGGCTCCCCACTGACCACGCCCGCGCCTGTGGCTCCCCATCCGCACTAACACCTCGATTTTTTTTTTTGGAAATTAGACACCCTGATGGTTCATTGAATGGTAATCATCTTCAATTTCCTTATATACCATTCGGTTGCCAAATTATCAATTTAAATACAATTGCTGGCCGGATGAGAAAAAAGATGCTGACATGTGAGTCCCACTTAACAGTAACTAACGGCGTCAAATCCACCCTCCATCCCGTCCCTTATCAACCAAACAGAAAATAGAGTCGTCCCGTTCCCGTCCCGTCACAGAAATCAGAGACGGGACCTTCCCGCTTCACTTGACTCCCAACCAAACGCTACCTTATATGAGCTTCGTCCCCGCATCCTCGGCGTTGCCCCAAGTATGCCATCCCATGTAACTTAGCCCATACAACACGATATTCAAAAGCACATGTAGAAGATTCGACCCAGCCAAAGGTATTTGTCTAATTTTTTTTAATAAAAGAATTGAATCCGGCTTCATCTGTTAGCACTATTAAAATCAAACCACTTATTACAGAAGATTAAAGTATCATAAAAAAAGGTTCAACTTAAACCATCCAAAGGAAGCAAAGAAATGCATAGTCGCCGCTTCTAACTCCCGGCAAATTTGGTGAATATGTTCTTTGTCGCCATCACACAACTGTAACTACGTCCAATGTCGTAACCAGTGCGTTCCTCTAAACAAGGCCGTAAAAAAGTTTTAGGCTGGTATTTGTCAGAAACAACTTCATTCCTTGCAAGCTATATTGACCAACAAATGACTGCACCTCCTACTAACAACAAAGAATTGTTTATCCCACATCCTTATCTAATGATAATTCTTTTTCCATGAACGAAGAACATGTATGTATTCCAAACCATGATCTTTTTCGTGTAAAAAGAAGGAAGTTTAACTTAGAACAACTCAAAGTGAGATCTAATCTAGAAAAGATGAAGATTCAGAGATATTGGGAGGCCAATGTTCCAGTCTCGTGGTGTGATGTGATCATACAAGAGTTGACAGAGATCTTCACTCCTCCCTCTCAAATATTGACTTTCGGAGTTGTTTTAACCTAATAAATTATCCAAAGTTTAACTAATTTTATAGAGTGGAATACCAATAATTAATTATAACACTAAATAAATACGCTATAAACTCTATTTCATGATATACCTAACGATATTAATTCGGTGATATAAATACCAATATTCTTTGTCTAATTTAGCTAAATTTAACATGGTGTTACTTAGATCTCGTTTGGTACAAATCCTTCTCCAGCTCCTAAAGTAGTTCAGCACACATTTTTTTACCAAACTGAGCAAAATCTTAGCAGCTCCTTGCGCAGAGCTCCTTATTAAAAGGTGCTCTCATAGGGTGGTGCATCATGGATGAAACTGAAAAAACAAGCTTCTAACAACTCCCTGGATATTTATCTTCTCTTAGTCATTCTCATTCAAGACAATACAAAGGGAAGTTGGTTTGCCAAACATTCCACCAAAATAGTTTCACCTTCGCTAATGGAGCTGCTCGTTGAGCCGAAGCTAGAAAATAATTCTACCAGTGGAGCAGAGCTGTATCAAACGAGGTCTTTGGAA